AACCTCTGACCAGGACCTTCTGGCTTTCATTGCTTCCATTGAGAAGTCAAGTGTAATTCTCATAGGTCTGCCTTAATATGGTACAAAGAGAGTTCCAGGACAGCCAGGGCAGTTAGAGAAACCCTGTCTCAAAAACAAAAAAAAAAAAAAAAAAAAGAAATAAAAAAAGAATGTACCTTTTATACTCTATAGTTGCCCATAAGATTAAGTGGGAGAAAAGAGGCCTATGAACTGTGGTGTGGTTTGAGATCAGGGACTAAGGAAGCTAGCAGTGACCTTACACAGTAATAGGCACAGTCATATGTTAATGGAAGGGCCACAAGTTCCTCTTGCCAGAGATAAGAATGACTCCTTTTTTAGCAAGCAGGAACTTTCTTCAGCCCCTGAAAAAAATGGGAAGTTTTGTCTAAATGTCTGACCTTGGGAAAGGAGCTTTCTTGGGAGGATCAGACACTCCTTTATAGAATATTACAGGGTTTTTTGTTTGTTTGTTTGTTTGTTTTGGTACGCTTTGGTTTATCCAAATAGCTAAAAGCTTGAAGTGAGCAAAGACAAAGGTAGACAAATATTACTGTGAACCTAAGTAGACCTCTAGAATTTACACATCTTGATTATCAAATAGACCTTATTTATCAAATAGACCTTATTAGGCAAATGTTACTTATCTAAATTTTCTAACAGCTTGATGTTAATTTGTATGGGAGTAGGCAGAGTTATCATGATATATGGTTCCACGGGGAATTTTTTCCAAAGAATTATTTTGTTTAGGGAGGCTGCCATTTTATAGACTTTCAACCTTTAAAGCCCCAATAAAATTTCCCAAAGGAAAAGGCATAAGGGAACTCCCATAACACACAGAATCATTAAAAATGAAAGCCAAAGGTACTGGAGAATTGTGATGTGAAAAGTAGAAATGCTGAGACTTTATCAAGCAGCAATGGCTGCCATGCGATCCATGCCACTGTCACATAGGTAGGTAATTGATAAGTATTGAGTCCCCGGTTATTGGGGGGACACATTAGTAAATCCAAATTTAATCTGAGCAGAGCAAAGCAACTCCTGAATCACCTGGCAAATATGGTTACCGGGTCTTGTATAGCCTGTGTGGCTGACTTTTTGTGGCTTCCACCTAAACAGTGACCAAAGAAAATCAAAACTGGAGCTGGGCTTTTAGAGGCTGAGAATGGCTTCATGGTAGAATGCTTGCTTATTAAGGCTCCAGGTTCAATCCAACAGACTAGGGTGATACCCTGATGGTGGATGGGGAGGGGGTGATGCTGAGGATGGGAAGAGCCTTCTGGCCTTCTGAAATAGTTTAGGTTTGTAACACCAGCTCTTAGAAGCCCAGGCATAGGGTTTCCGTGAGTTCCAGATTCATCCAGGGCTACATAAGAAGATGCAATTTAAAAAAAAAAAAAAGGAGAAGAGGACATAAAGATAAAGGACCCTCCCTGGTTTTTGGGAGGAGGGTAATTCCCACTGAAGATCAGAAAAGATAAATTTGGTAAATTGGTTAAGAGGGTGGAACATGTGTACGGGAAAACTACACCACTGGGGGGCGGGGCGCTTCTTGCTAGGTGTGGTGGCGCATGCCTGATTTTAATTCCAGCACTCAGGAGGAGAGGCAGACAGATCTCCCTCAGTGCTTAGTTAGCTTGGTCTACATAGAGCATTCCAGGACATCCAGAGCTGCATAAAGAGAGACCCAGTGGCAAACAAATTGCCTCTCCCCTGATGCCATTAACTGCCTATTCCTTAGCAAACACACACACACACACACACACACACACACACACACACACACCTGCTCCATGATGGACTGTTGATGAGCCCAGTCTTAGAAGGCACAGAGGACCACAGCTGTTGTTGGTGACTACGATAGCCAGAAGACACAATCACACCACACCTCACCCACCTCTCCCCACCATTTCTTCCACAATGTTCCCTGAGCCTTGGATGGGTATCACCATTTACTCCACTTATTCTCAGCACTTTGACCAGTTAGGGATCTCTGCAATGAATCACTGACTACTACACAAAGCTTCTTACAGCAAAACTGCACAGCCCTAATCTATGGGAATAAATATAAATACTTAGAAGGCTGTGTGACAGGCACAACTTACCCATTTAGCCAAACAACAATAGTAGCTTCCCACAGGGTCTTTTTTTTTTTTTTTTTTTTTTTTTTTTTTAATGATACTATTTTTTATTTAAATTTGAAACAAGCTTCTTTTACACGTCAATCCCAGCTCCCTCACCCTCCCCTTCTCCCCTGTCCCCTCCAACCCCCATCCCATCTACTTTCTGCTCCCCAAGGAGGGCCCCACTAAGTCTTATATTCCCTGGCCCAGGCTTTTTGACTAGGTTAACAGTAAGAAATGTGAATGCCCTATTAGGAATCTGATTTCAAATCCAATTTTAAAAAATATGTTTTTGGGAGGGTGGGGAGCTGGAGAGATGACTCAGCATTTTTAAGAGTACTTGCTGTTATGTGGGCGGTGGTGGTCCACGCCTTTAATTCCAGCACTCTGGAGGCAGAGGCAGGAGGATCTCTGTGAGTTCAAGTCCAGCCCAGTCTACAGAGCTAGTCCAGGGCTGTTACACTGAGAAACCCTGTCTAGAAAAGAACAAAACAAACAAACAAAAAAAAAGAATACTTGCTGTTGGGCTGGAAAGATGGATTGGTGGTTCAGAGCACTGGCTGCTCTTCCAGAGGACCCCTGTTTAATTCCCAGCACCCACATGGCAGCTCACATCTGTCTGTAACTCCAAGATCTGACACCCTCACACAGACATATATACAGCCAAAAAACAGCAATGCACATAAAGTAACAACAAATAAAATTTAGAAAAAGAGAATACTTGCTGCCCTTCTAGAGGACCTAGGTTCAATTCCCAGCACCCTCACGAAGACTTATAACCATCTGTAACCACAGTCCTAGGGAATCCAATGTCTTCTTCTGGCTTCCATGGGCACCAGCACACACGTGGTACACAGGCATACATGCAGACAAAACACACACACACATAACATTAAATAAAAAATTTTAAATGATACTAACAAAAAATGAAAGTGATTGGCTGCCCCCACAATAGTCACACCAGTACTGCACCTACCCCACTGGACACAGCTTGAGGGCAAGTTGAGTATAGTACACCTACAGGGTTCACCATCAATGACCACCCACCTCCAGCAGCCTGCATAGTCCCTCCTAGCAGAGAAGCGTCCAGAAGAAGCTTTCCGTCCAGTTCCAGCTTGATTTCTCTATGGACTGCAATCAAAGCATGTCTTCAACAGTAGGGTTCTACCCTCCAGTTCTGCTAGTCAACCAGCAGCAGGAGCAATGAGCAATGGCCTCTGTTGGTTTGGAGCCTCAGAGACAGAGCCTAAGAATCAGGATGTGGTAATTGACTTTTTTTTAAAAGGAGGGACTGAGGTAAATGAATTGATAATGCTCAAAATATGAAGTCGACACGGAGGAGAGAGATGGCGAGGCTGATGACGATGGATGGTAGGAAATCTGAGGAGAGGGTTTGTGCCTGGATTTAATTCCCAAAATTACAAAATTGGGTATGGATACAGAAGAATCCCAATGTCAGGGTCATATGTAGGTAGCTGAGGTCAATTTAGCCTACAGAAAACCTTCTCACAAAAAAACAAGCAAAAAAAAAAAAAAAAAAAACCAGCAAAAAAGGGGAGCTTATTCTACCAGCCACAACTCCTCCTGTCTAAACGTCAGACAGGACAGAAAAATCACAGGAAGGAACATTAAAAATATTTTCCAATCGTTTTATGATTACTCAGAAACGATAGCAGCAACAAAAGGAAATGACCCTGGTGCCCAAGTGATGTTCATGGCTGGTGTAAGAAATGTGGAAGTGTGGATGAGGAACTGTCTCTTCTCTATTCTGCTTTGATACTGCTATAGCTAGTTTAAAGTTTGGGTGGGTGGGTTGGTTGTTTGGTTGGGTTGGCTGGTTGGTTGTTTGGTTAGGTTGGTTGGGTGGGTGGGTGGGTGGGTGGGTTGGTTGGGTTGGTTGGTTGGTTGGTTGGTTGGTTGTTTGGTTGGGTTGGTTGGTTGGTTGGGTGGGTGGGTGGGTGGGTGGGTTGGTTGGTTGTTTGGTTGGGTTGGCTGGTTGGTTGGTTGGTTGGTTGGGTGGGTGGGTGGGTTGGTTGGGTGGGTGGGTGGGTTGGTTGGGTTGGTTGGTTGGTTGGGTTGGTTGGTTGGTTGGTTGGTTGGTTGGTTGGTTGGGTTGGTGGGTTGGTGGGTTGGTTGGTTGGTATTTGTAACTTTTGGAAGATCTTCCTAAGGATTGATCTCTTAGATCAAATGCTGGATTTGCCAGTTGTTGGTTATGGAAAACCTGACACAAATTTATATGGTTAGAGATATGACTGTGTAGTTGAGACAACAGGAAACGGAATCCACTTGGAACATGAGGAATGATACGATTAATGGAGTTTATCTTAGTGTCATAAGGCCTTTAAAAATGTGATAAAACTATTTAGAAACCTTTAAAAAAGTGTTTTAAAAAGACATCTGGGGGACAGATTTAGACAGAAGAGATCGTGCTCTATGTTCAAGTTGGTCCCTGAAGTTGCTGCAAACCCCTTATCGCAAGGGGTGGAGGGATCATTGAACATACTATGTTGCAGAAGATAATGACCTTGGGTTTTCTGATCTTCCTGTCTCCATTTCCCCAACACAAGAATTACAAGCCTGTGCCACCACGCCGAATTTTAGAATCGTTTTAAGATAAATTTCTGAATGCTTGAAAGTTTGAAAATCTTGAAACTTTATTAGGTTTCCGGATGACAGTTAGGAAACTACATTTCCCAGGAGTCCACTCGGCAAGTCTCCACACTCACCCGGTCGCTTCATCAAGAAGTACACTGGGAAATGTAGTGCTTCGAGAAGCGGGGCACACAACGCTGGTGAAGGAACACGGGAAGTGTGCCTCCAGTGGCAGGACAGGGACCGGACAACGACTCTGCACACCCCCAATTTTGTGAGGTTGGAGACGGTCCCAGGTCCTCTGTACCAAGGTTTACGCGCTGGCGAGCTGGTTGGAGGGTCCCTGACTGGAAGGTGCCAACCGCAGGGGGTCGAACTCGTACCTGCCCCACCCTAGCTGCGGCCGCTCGGGGAGGAAGCTTGCAGAGGCCGAGTGCAAAAGTTTCCTTTTCTGCTTTCACGTCAGAGCAGCTTCAGCTAACCGAGGGTGGGGATGCATGACTTCAGTCGGAAGAAAACCCGGGAGCCCAAGGGGTTAAAATAAGCAACTTCGGGGGGGAAAAAAACGACATTTAAAAAAACAAAAAACACCTCTCCCCACTGCTAGTCATGGGCAGCCGCGATCACCTGTTCAAGGTGCTGGTGGTGGGGGACGCCGCGGTGGGCAAGACGTCACTGGTCCAGCGTTACTCCCAGGACAGCTTCAGCAAGCACTACAAGTCCACCGTGGGAGGTGAGAGGCCGCGGGAGGCTGGGAGCAGGCATGGGGCTTGCAGCCTGTAGCCGCCGGCACTGGGGTCGTCTCTGGGGGTTCCCAGCCTGTGCCAACTGCCTGCAAAGATCGGGAGATGGAGAAGGTGGAGGGGTCCGAGTAGGGCTGTTCACAGCAGCCAGCAGTACCCTCCCGCAGCCTTGTGCTGTCCCCCCCCCCCCCAGCAACTTCTCCAATCAGCAGAGGCAGCTGAGCCAGGTTCATGTGCAAGCTGGGGAGAATTGCCCTGTTTCTCACCAACGTGGGACAGGTATCGAGGAAAGAACGGACTTGAGCTAAGGAGGAGCTAGCCCAGAAGCTAGGTAGTCAGAAGGACCGGATGTGAGGAAGATTGGGGAACAGATTCTGGTCAGGGCTGATGAACCCTGTGGGTTGTTTTAATAAAGATAGTTAGTGGGAAATGTGAGGAATTCAAGAAAGAATGTGAAATACACTCCGAGTGACCTATCTTCTCATTCTTTTCTCACGCTGGGGGAGGGAGGGAGGAGGAAAGAGACACCAAAAGTTAGTATCTTTCCTAGGGTAGCCTTTGAACTTAACTGAACTGTTACCCCACCCTACCCCCAGCACACCACTTCAAGTAGAAGGTAGTTAATGATGCGATGATGTGAAAGAGTAGCCAAAAATAAATAAATAAAAATAAGAAATTTTATTTAAAACTCGTATCAACATAGATTTTGAAAGCATGTGCCTGCCGGTGTTCATATGAAAGTTTGTTTTTCATTAACTGTTAAGTTGGAAATGAAAACTTTAAAGACTCTCTCCTTGACAAATAGCTTTTCCTGCACGGTATGGTTTTCTGTACCTTTAAATCCACACTCAGGAAGGGGCCGGGCAGGAAGATCTCAGATTGCTGCTCCCTTGCACTACACAACTTTGGGAGGTGGCCCTGGAATAGTTAGTTGTTCATCTCAAGTTCATGGAGTTTTATTTTAGCATCTCCGGACCCCCTGGCAAATTCCGGCGCAGCAATTAAACTTCATTCCCTGGGACCTTTTCAGTTGCCCGGCCCCTGCCTGACATAATCACCAGTCTTAGGGGATATAGAGTCTCCTGTTGTCTTTTCTCATCAGCAGTGATGTTGGATGCGGAAGACACAAAACTGAGCCCACTTTAGCTTCATTTCCTTCATCTCCCCATCATCTTTTCTTTGAGAACCCCCCAAAAACTCCCCAAAACCATTTAACATGCGAATAGGAATTATTTCCATAATCATTCCCACTGAATGGCTATGAATTATGTGTCCTACACTTACATACCATGTGGACTCAACTCCCTCTATTGAAGGCTTAAACCTAATTGGAGTTTCAAGATCCAGGGGTTGTCATTGTGAATTTAATCTGAGCTTATCCCTGCTTTTATTAAAAAAAACAATTGTGTCTGTGTATGTATGCATCATGTATGCGTGTATGTATGTATGTATGTATGTATGTATGCATCATGACATGCATGTCGAAGTCAGAGGATAGTTTGTAAGGGAGGTTATGGGGACTGAACTTGGGTTGAGAGGCTCGGTAAAAAGTGCCTTTAGCTTACCCACAGAACCATCTCACTGGCCCATCCATCCCTGGATTTGTTTTAAAGGCATATTTTATTAAAGTATAATATGCTTATATTTTCAGTGGACTTTGCTCTGAAGGTTCTCCAGTGGTCTGACTCAGAGATGGTGCGGCTTCAGCTGTGGGATATTGCAGGTAAAAGGGAGAGATGAGATGGGAACAAGAGAAGAAATTATTTAACCAGGAAGCTGCCTGGGATGGGGTAGACACAGTGGGGAAATGGGGTGGCAAAATCGGTATTTTTTTTCTTTTCTTTTCTTTTTTTTTTTTTTTTGTTGTTGTTTTGTTTTGTTCCTGAAGCTGCAAGTTTGAGCTTTCAAGGTGATTTTGAAGGTGTACTGCCCCAAATACAAAGATATGTGGTGCCATCTCTGTATGGACAGAGATGCTGCTAAGGTGGCAGACTGCCCAGGGCACCCACGGGTGACTGCCCCCTAGTAGGAGGGTAAGCTCTAGATCTTCGGCTGATTTTAGTGAGAAATAAGATCTCCAGAAAGTGACCATGGTGAATCCTTTATGTGCTGTTCTTCAGAGTATTTCAAATTGGCTGCTTCTCTACCCTTGTCGTGAAAGCTTTTATTGTACTAGACACAGGACAGATCTGAAGTGCTCAGCCAGATAGTAAGTGACGGACAGGGATGTGCATGTTGCAGCTTGGATGCAGAATCTGCAGTAGAAGAGACTGAGTTAATAATCCCTTAATGAGATAGAATCAGAAGGGAAAGGTAAGGGGCCCTCTCTACCGTATACAAGAGCCCTGTTGTATGGCGAAGGGAGAGTAGAGGGTGTCGGGAGGGTGACCGCTTCCAGACTCACCTTTTGACAGCGTTCTCTTCTCTCCAGGGCAGGAGAGGTTCACCTCTATGACCCGACTATACTATCGAGATGCGTCTGCCTGTGTTATTATGTTTGATGTCACCAATGCCACTACTTTCAGTAACAGCCAAAGATGGAAACAGGATCTGGACAGCAAGCTTACGCTGCCCAGTGGAGATCCAGTGCCCTGCCTGCTCTTGGCCAACAAGGTGTGTGGCCAATTTAAGTAAATGGCTCCTGGCATCTATCGGTGGCTAGAGTAAAGGTATCTAAAAGGCTCTGTGGTTCTGAACATGCACAATGCACACACTGTTTCTTTTCTTTTCTTTTTTGTTTTGTTTTGTTTTTTAAGCTAGAATCTGTATATATAGCCAAGGCAGACCTAAAACAGTTCTGCTTCTGTTGCCCAAATGCTATAAATTAGTGCCACTATGCCTGGCCACCAACATGTCAGCATGCCTATTTGTCCCTTTCAAGTTGGCAGTCACCTCCACTTTCTTTTGAAGAGATATTGAGAAAGTGACTTTCTGTTTGTTTGTTTTTTCCTCTCTTATATTTTGTGTGGAGTATGTTCTGCCTGCATGTATGTCTATACACCATGTGTGTTCCTGGTTTCCAGGGAGGCCAGAAGAGGGTGTCAGGCTCCTTGGTTCTGGAGTAACAGAACATCATGAGTTGACATGTGGGTGCTGGGAATTGAACCTGGGTTCTCCGGAAGAGCAGCCAGTGCTCTAACTGCTGAGGCAATGCAACATTCCTGAGCGTGACTCTTTTGAGTTTCTTTGTTTTGTTTTGATTTCTGTTTGTTTGTTTGTTTTGGTTTTTTGAGACAGGGTTTCTCTGTATTGCTTTGGTGCCTGTCTTGGAACTAGCTCTGTAGACCAGGCTGGCCTTGAACTCAAAGAGATCCTCCTGCCTCTCCCTCCCGAGTGCTGGGATTAAAGGCATGCACCACCAATGCCCAACAACTCTTGTTTTAAAGGAAGATTCTTGACGTTGGTGGTCTCAGTCATTGTTTGAAAACTGTTCTAAGTATACAGGTACCCGTGAAGATTATGGTGTTGCCACTTACGTATTTTCTTTTTTAGAGTGATCTGTCCCCTTGGGCAGTGAGTCGGGACCAGATTGACCGGTTCAGTAAAGAGAATGGTTTCACAGGTTGGACAGAAACATCAGTCAAGGAGAATAGAAATATTAATGAGGCCATGAGGTGAGTAGCTCTTAGAGTTCTAGGGACAGGCACACTGGATTTGTGAACAAACAAGTACAGATTAAGCCACTGGAATGCCGGCATCCCTAAGATAATTGAGGACAGGGGAGTGCTTAAGCCCGGTGTCCTGGAGTGCTACCTGGTGACAAGACAATGCAGGCTGCATCTGCTTTTTTTTTTTTTTTTCTTTTTGGTTTTTCGAGACAGGGTTTTTCTATATTGCTTTGGAGGCTGTCCTGGAACTAGCTCTTGTACACCAGGCTGGTCTCGAACTCACAGAGATCTGCCTGCCTCTGCCTCCCGAGTGCTGGGATTAAAGGTGTGCATCACCAATGCCAGGCTACGCCACCACTGCCTGGCTGCTTTTTCTCAATCTACCTTCTCGGGCTTACTTTTCCTATTTTCTTTCTTTTATTTTTTTAAGAGTCCTCGTTGAAAAGATGATGAACAATTCCAGAGAAGATATAATGTCTTTGTCCACCCAAGGAAACTACATCAATCTCCAAGCCAAGTCCTCCTCTGGCTGGACATGCTGCTAGCTCTGTTTCCCTAGTCTTTCCTAGTCTTTCCACCTCTTGCTGTTGGTTGCCCACCAAACATAAAAACCCTGTTAAGAACATTCGAACTGCTTCTTGACAGCTGTCCAAAAAGGAGGCCCACTGGGACTTGGGAAAGTCTGCCTGGGACCCATGTGCATTTCCATTGCTCTCGGATGTCGTCTCTGACTTACTGTTGCCCATGTAGCCCAGTCAGAGCCTCCTATGTGACAGCGATCACCTCATCTCCCCCCCAACTGTGGCATGAGTTTATGGGAAGGATTAAAAATTAGCACCTGTGTGTGTGTTTGTGTTTGTGGTGCTGAGGACTGAACTCAGGGCCTTGCACAGGCTAGGCAAGCACAGTGCTACTGAAGTCCATCCTAGCCCTAGCATCTGGGTTTGAAAATAATTCTCAGGGCCAGCAAGGTGGCTCAGTGCATTAAGGTATTTGACACCCAGCCAGAAAACCTGAGTTCAGTCCCTGCGTCCCCCGTGTTGGGAGAACTGGCTCATACAGGCTTGTCCTGTGATACACACACACACACACACACACACACACACACACACACACACACCCGGCACACTCTTGCTCTCACACATACTAAATAAATAAGTAAATATCAGAAATACAAGTAAAGTAAATCTCAGAGACACTTGTGGTGCGTATGCCTACAGTTCTAGAACCTGGCTGGCTGAGGCGGGAAGATTAAACATGCATGGACAGCTTAGGTTACATAGTATAATATCCCATCTTTAAAACTAGTAATAATAACATTATAAAATTAGTTCTCATCAAGTTTTTGAGAGTTTTTTTCAATTTGATGTAGAAAAACACCATGAGCTCAGACTGAGGGGAAATAAAATCAGCCTTTCAACCACATTCCATTTTCTTTCAGATCCTTCCTGTATGGGATTTAACATTTCAACATCAGATTCTGGGGTGCAGGGGAAAGGCATTAGAGATCTAGTGGTTTGAGACTACTGTGGTGAAACAGGATCACTGTGTGTCTGATGTTTTAGTCATAATTAACTTTACCTTGTCTTGGCTTCAAGAATAGTCGAGCTTTGGGCTGGAGAGATAGTTCAGCAGTTACGAGCATTGCTGCTTTTTAGAAAGAAGCCAAGCTTGATCCCCAGAACCCGCACCGCATTGGTGACAGTCACACTGGTGACTGGCTGACGACCACCTGTAAGACCAGCTGCAACGGGATTCCTCACCTCTGACCTCAAAAAGCACCTGTATTCACATGCATACACAGACTTACACATATGACATACGCATACCTACACATAAATCTAAAAACAAAACAACAAGACAGAAGGTCAAGGTCAACTTCAGCCACATTATTTTTTAAAGCCTGTCAAGCTTTTGGCTAGGACTAGTGGCACTCCCCTGTAATTCCGCCACTTGAAGGCTAAGGCAGCAGAATTTGAGACCAGTCTGTGCTACTAAATGAGACTGTTTGAAAGCAATAAAAAGAGCCTGGCGAGATGGCTCAGCTACTGTTCCAAGGGACTACGGTTCAATTTCCAGCACCATGTGGTGGCTGACACAGGACTGCAACTCCTGCTTCCAGGGGGTCGGATGCTCCCTTCCAGCACCCTCAGCACTGCATGAAGTATACAAATACATGCAGGCAAAACACCCATATGCATAAAATAAAGGTCACAAAAAACAACAACAACAATAACAGAAACACGCTGTAAAAACTACCCGCTGGCTTTTGAAAAGAGATCAAACTGTATTGCCCAGGCTGCTTCACTCTCCCAAGTGTCCTGATGCCTGTTGCCCAGCCTTTTCTCACCTTGAGTCTCTTATAGGGCCAGCTTCAGACAGTGCTCTGCCTACAGCTACCCTCTCCCCACCCCCGCTTGGGTTTATCGAAAGCACCTTACCATTCCCCCAGGAGACTCCAAACCACAATCGCCTTGCCTCAGTCTCCTGAGTGCTTAGATTAGAGGTGGCACCGTCCCTGCCAGGCCTGACCACGGTGGTTATTAAAGGTGGGTACCATCACTGCTAGGCCCGACTGCTGTAATGATTCACTTCCTTTTTTGTTTGTTTGTTTTGAGACACAGTTTCCCTGTGTAACCGTGGCCTCATTCTGTAGACTAAACTGGCCTCAAACCCAGAGATCTGCCTGTCTCTGCCTCCCTAGTGCTGGGATTAAAAGTGTGTGCCACGGTCCCTGCTGTAGAATATTAGTTAAAGTTGTGTTACATTCTTGTATGCTGTGGGAGATTTGTTTAATGATGCAAAGATGTGTTGCGTTCTATAGGTTGCATTTGTTTAATTCTGTGAAGCTGTGTTACTTTGCCTGCCTAAAACACCTGATTGGTATAATAAAGAACTGAATGGCCAATGGCTGGGAAGGAGAGAGAAATGGGTGGGGCTGGTAGGCAGAGAGAATAAATGGGAGGAAAAAAAGGATCCAGAAGCAAGAAAAGGAGGAGAGAGGACATCACAGCACAGCCACCCAGCTACACAAGAAACCATGGAGTAAGAAGTATAAAGAAAGGTCTATAGAATAGAGAAAGATGCCAGACAGTGGTGGTGTGATGGGAGATGTCCTTCTGTAAATGTGTTTCTCTTATTGGTTAATGAATAAAGCACTGTTGGCCAATAGGAAGGCAAGATAGGTGGGACTAGGAGACAAGGAGGATTCTGGGAGAGATAGTAGAGAAGAGATTTAAGATGTAGGCACTTGAGGGAAGAGGTCCAGATCCTCTCTCCAGTAAGATAAGACCACGTGGAAACACTTAGATTAATAGAAATGGATTAATATTTGAGACATAGACCAGCCAATAAGGAATGCTAGTAACTGGCCAACAGCTTTATTTCTGATACAGCGTCTCTGTGTGTTATTTGGGGCTTATGCGGCTGTGGGACCAGGCTGGCAGGAAAAGCTATCCATAACAGTGATGCACACCTTTAATCCCAGCATCCAGGAGGCAGAAGCAGGAGGATCTCTGTGAGTTCTAGGCCAGCCTGGTCTACAGAGCGAGTTCCAGGAGAGGCTCCAAAGCAATACAGAGAAACCCTGTCTCAGAAAAACAAAACAAAAAAGCCTGGTACCCAGCATTCCCAGCGGCAAGATGATGGGTGGAAACAGTGGGCCCATTAACTAGCAGACTGGACAGTATGGCGCACATAGTGCAAGCGCCAGGAACCCTGTCTCAAAATCACGGTGGAAGGAAAGAACTGACTCCTAAAACCTCCCCAGGCTCACTGGAGTGCACATACCTCCATGCACATACAACGAGTAAATGTTCTTAAAAGAAGGGATTGAATTATAACATGCTTTTCTTCTGCCCCACATATAAATAAGATAATTAAGATGAGTAAGAAAATACTGCCATCTAGGAGAAATATGTGATTGTAGTAAAAATAATTAGGATCTGTTACTTGGATGCCTTGTCTCTGGTGATGCCCTGCTTTGCTTTCTACTGCTGTGATAAGCACCATGACCAGTGGTGGTGCACACCTTTAATCACAGCACTTGGAGGCAGAGGCAGGAACTGTCTGAGTTCCAGGCCAGCCTGGTCTACAGAGAGAGTTCAAGGACAGCCAGGGCTACAGAGAGAAACCCTAGCTAAAAAAGAAGAAAGAAAATAAAAAGAAAGGAAGGAAGAAGGGAGGAAGGAAGGAAAGACAGACAGACAGAAAGAAAGAAAGACAGCAAGCAAGCACCATAACTAAAAGCAACTTGGGGAGGTTTATTCTACCGTACAGCTTTTAGTACGCCATGAAGGGAAGTTAGGGCAGGAACCTGGAGGCAGGAGCTGAAGCAGAGGCCACAGAGGATGCTGCTTTCTGCCTTGCTACCCATGGTTTGCTCAGCTTCCTTTTTCATACAACTCAGGGCCACCTACCCTAAGGTGGCCCTGCCCACAGTGGCCTGGGCCACCCATGTCAATCATTAATCAAGAAAATTCCCCACATGCTTGTCTACAGGTCAGTCTTGTGGAGGCACTTTCTAAATTGAGGTTTTCTCTTTCCAGGTGACCCTAGTTTGTGTCAAGTTGACTAAAACAAACAAAACAAGACAATGACCATCATGCTAACGTATTTAGAATATTTTTGAGAGGTCTACCACCCAGCTCCCAAATAAATCACACACACACACACACACACACACACACACACACACACACACACACACACACGAAGGCTTATTCTTACACATGAATGCCTGGCCTTAGCTTGGCTTGTTTCTTGCCAGCTTCTCTTAAATTATCCCATCTACCTTTCGCCTTTGGGCTTTTGTCTTTCTTGCTTCTGTATATCTTGCTTTCCTTCTTACTCCATGACTGGCTGGGGTGGCTGGCCTCTCATCATTCTCTTGCTCCTCCTCTTCCCCATTTCTCCTTCTGTTTATCCTCTCTGCCTGCCAGCCCCACCTATCCTTGCTCCTGCCTCACTATTGGCCGTTCAGCTCTACATGAGGACCACCATGGGTTTTAGATGGGCAAAGAATCACAGGTTTACAGAGCTAAACAAATATGGCATAAACGGAAGTCCCACACCTGAAAATAAAATTCTGCCACATTGGACTGGGGAGGTGGCTTTGTCGCTAAAGTGTGCTTCCCTTGCAAGCCTGAGGACCTAAGCTCACACAGGAAGTAGGGCAGGCAGCATGTGCCTTGGGCTCCCTGGAAGGCCCAGTCCAGCTACTAGGTTCAGTAAGGGTCCCTGTCTCAAAAATAAGGGTGGACAGCAACCAAGGAAGACAGCTAGCATCAGTCTCGTGTGTGTGTGTGTGTGTGTGTGTGTGTGTGTGTGTGTGTGTGTGTATGTGTGTGTGTGCGCGCGCGCACAATCCATCACCACAGGCCCTCTGTAAGGATGAGATTCCCTTCCAGACAACACATATATTCTCTCTCTGACTCACATAGGACAAAACTATGAACAGAAATGAATGTGTTAGAACCCCCACGCACTGAGGCTGCTACTCTGCCACACAATACCATGTGGAACCTGCTAGAGCCACCTTTCAGTTCAGCATAGCTGTGCCGTCAATTCATTCCATAAGTATCGATTACCTCTTGTTTTCTATCACTTAATGTCTACTCTTGCATATATGTCTCATGATGGATTTGCTTTGGTTTGTGTGTTGCTTGGTTAGGATTTAGGACTGCTGTGTCTGTTTCTCCACCAGCCTACTGTAGGCATTCTCTACTATACCCTAGTCACATCTCACACAGCCCTCATCCCTGTCTGTTCTCTTCCTTCTCTCATCCTATAGCCTGTCCTTTTCCCTGCTTAATTAGAAACTTCTATTACCTTTAACAATCTCT